TGGCAGTGGATGGGGTTTGCCCTTCCCATCAAGAGAGGGCATGGAAGATGTACAATGCACCTGGTCATTTGCAGCATTCCATTAGGCTTTCCTCCAGAGGAGCGAATGGATGTTGGGTTGAGGGACAGGACCACCCCTCCTCCAGAACAAGATGCATGTACCGGTACAAGTACAGGTCCAAGTCTGCCACACTACATACATGTGTATCAGAGGGGGGACCAGTGAGCTCTTTGATATACGCCTGGGTGGTGACCCTTCCGACGGACTTACAAGACTCTCTGAACCCAACTGCTCCGTGATGGCATCTTCAACTTCGGGAACCTCATCTTTCCATCACAGGCTAACTTTTCAGATGAATTTTCATCATCTGGATGCTCTGTCAGCCTCCTGAGGAGGTTTTCAGCAACCTTGTACGTACACAAGCTGACTTTCAGACTTATCTCAACCAATGTACAGCTTGAGTCTGTCCACATGGACAACACACGTTTACCTCTATTCTTTGGCTGAATGCGAACTGTCACATTCGACAGCTTTTTCAGGATCAACCAAGGTCCTTCCCATTAAAGTTATTCACCAAGGTTCTCTTCAACAGAGCGTCTGATTGTTGACAGTTTGTTATGCCCAAAATTTGGCACATCTCACTCAACACATCTGCCTTAAAATTGCCCAGATCATAATAGAGTTCTTGGGAATTCCCAAACCAACAGGCAAACTCATTAACCAGTGTATGGCGATGGTGATGGCAGTGACATAAGGAAGTGTGAATGCTTCCATCCACAATACTACAATAATTGCCAACCCCCAGCACCCATCGCTAGCCATTGTCCGTTGTGGGCAATGGCCTGAGCAAGTCTACTCCCACTGACTCCATTAGCTGCTAACTCGGTACTGCTGGAAGGGTGCAACCCTTCTTTTAGCAGCCGATTTTCTTTTGACACACATCACAGCCTCGGAGGAATGACTGCACATCCGAAGACATGATTGGCCAGAAGTACCTTGCTTTCACTTCAGCCGGAGTTTTACTGATGGCAAAATAAAGCTTCCCACAATGCAACTTGGCCATGATTCCATTGAGGAACTTTGGTAGTAGCAGCAATAGCCACTGGATAGATTTTCCATCCTCAGAGTCCCATCTCTGGTACAACACTCTGTCACAGATGATGCCCCACCCGCTCTTTTATCGCCGGCTTCACACCACCAGCATTTGTGATTCTTAACTACATCCACGTGACCAATGTCATGGTCACCATTGGACAGCAACTCTTGGAAGTCTATCAGACATTTCTGGACTTCCCATGGTACAAGGCCTAAATTGGCTGTACCACTCTTATATAAATTTTACAAATACACTCACATGCAAATGTCTTCACACACCTATGTGAGTGACATTTATTACAGTAATGTAACAATGCATCAATCAACAAAAATAAACAATTTTACCAATACATGTACCTGTGTGTGAGTTGTTTTCTTTATTGAAATAAATTCATGTTACATTAGCAAAAAGTTCTTTCGGAACTGGGAAATGACAAAAACCAGAGTCACCACATTTCATACGCACAAAGTCTATGGCAGCTTTCTCCATTAACATACATTTGTAACATGAACGTATATCCCAGATGGTGGCATATATGGTCTGCTGGAAACACACGAGAGGCTAATCAGTTTAGGAAGGTGCAAAAGATCCTCTGGCATCGACCACAGCCTGGCATCTCTTCAGCACTGAACCGATGAGATTTGTGATGATCTGGCAGTCCATTCCCGCCCAAATCTGCTTGAGAATCTTAACGAGATTATCCTTGTTTCTGGGGTGATTTTCATGACAAAGTTGACATTCCATTTCATCCCAGAGATTCTCGAGCAGGTTTGGGTCGGGGACTCTAGGCCGGCCAGTCCATCACTTCCAATTGCCAGCTCCCCCCCCCCTTCCCAAATAAACTCGAGCATTAGATCAGCTCAGAACACCCTTGTGACAAGAGCTGTATGGGGCAGGTCAATGTCATGCTTGAAAATGAATTCGTGAAGAATCAAATGATGGGCAGCTGGCAGCATGTGATCACAAACAATATTGACATAACTACGGGCGTCAATATTCTCCTTGACCTACACCAGGCTCCCGACACCAGACGACCTTAAACACCCCAAACCATGATGACTGATCCCCCATGCTTATAACTGACAGAGCCATGCAGGCCTCCCTAAACTCCTCCCCAACAGCTCATCTGACGCAAACCCTGCCATCAGATAGAAAAAGCTGGAATCTGGACTCATCACTCCAGACCACCTTGGCCCAGTATGCTTCAGTCCAGTTGAGATGTTCACGGGCCCAGACTAATGGGTGTTGCTTGTGGCCATCAAGGCAGGGCTTGTGCCTATCCTGCCTAGCAACCCTGCCAAAGAGCCCAGCTTCCTTAAGATGTCAAGATACACAGCTGCAAAGCACTTCGACCCCCCACGATGGCCAGATTGACGGCCATATCAGGGGCAGGAAGGAATCGATCACAGTGGGAGGTCCAGACGTGGCAGTCATCTCGCTCCGTGGTTGCCCTTGGCCGACTAGATCTTAGCAGTGTATTTACTGAGCAATGTTCCTCCAACTTCTTCAGATTGTATCTCACAGTGGAGTTGCTGACCCCCAGCCTTCTTGCAATTTCCCGGGCCAAGTATCCCTCTTCCGAAAAAGCCACCAACATCCCTTTTTCATGGTTGGTGAGTGGAGTTTTTCTCACCATTGTAACATTGGGGAAGCTTTCACATGCAAATAAATCTTCCATGGAAACATGGCCTGACATGTCCCCTTGCCATTCTATTGAGTTGTTTATTCAAAGCCCTTCTAAATGTTACTAAAAAATATGTTTCCCACCATGCAAATACTGCTTCCCATTGGTGCCCAAGTTAAGATATTGATGACCCCATGAATACCTAATAAGGCTATCCAATATGGCGGTGTCATGAGGGCAATAACCGGGTAATGAATACGGTTCCATAACACCATCAAATTAACAACTTCAAAATGTGATTAAAAACTGACTAAAATAGTGACTCTAAATACAGGTACAATGTTTTTAGAACAATCTCTTTATTTCAACACAAAAAACTTAAATACAGATCAAGGATACCATACTGCTACATTTTTATTCACACTTGCCTTCAACAAATCAAAGTCTGATTCAACTTAATGACAAGAAGAAGATGTAAGCTTTCAAATTGACAAAATGACCAAGCCATGCTCCTAAGGTCAAAGGCAACTTTTTTTCGTCCCCTTGGTGCTACTGGATTCTACATATAGTGACTCTCCAGATCTCTGCTACTCTGTCTCGATCAGCACAAAGTAGATACATCCTTGTAAACAATTCCTGGCCAAAGTACATGTAATTACCAATTGTGAATGAGTATAAACACTTCCTGCTGAAATCACTCTGCTACAGTAGCTCACATCATTTATAATGACAGCTTCTCACAAGAAACTTGTCACTATCTTGACGATGAATTGACAACAGTTTTCTCAAGGGTTGCTGGTCAGCTGTGGAATGCACTGTTCCCCATCTTCCACCAGTATACCCCTCTGGCTCAATATTCGTCCATGCCTTCCGGTTTTTTTTCATGGTGAATTAGAGTGCCATGTAGCTCCGTCAACTTGCAGATGAGTGCACTGAATGGAAATGCAAGGGTCTACAGTAACATCACACAGGGCTCTCCTACAGTTGCGCAATCTCTATACAGCCTCCCTGGTCACTTCTTATGCCATACTTAAAAGTTACATGTGCATGTTGAAACAGTCTATAAACTACAAACGTACAAGTGAAGATCTGAATTGAAGAGTAGCTATCTGCTATCCATCTCTGATCCGGGGTACAAGCTATTAGATAACAGCTATCTTTTCTTCTTAACTTATTATTCACACATTCACATCAAACATGAACAGCACCACATGCACATCATTAAACACACAAGGTACCAATTCTGAAAACCAGTGCAAATTACATATCACACAACACAATCAATTTTCAAGCATTGGCAAGATTTATTGTCAAAAGTGACACCACACTGTTATCACAGCTCCCTATACTTGCTGGATGTGACCTTGATTTGAATTTTTGAGTTGATGCTTACTTCAGCTCCCGCCTGCGTGTACTCTAGAATTCCTGAGCCAATCAGCTTTGCAAATGAAATGCAAAAACAGTCCCCTCATCAACAGAGGCTGCCAGTAACTTTGCAACCAACTGTCTGGTAACGTAAATCCTTTCCCTTGGTTTTAAATGAGCCAATAGCACATACCGGTTGACACTACTCTTCAACCACTCCACGCAGGATGATGGGCAAACACAAGATTTCCTGCGTCCACAGCGTGGAGGACATTGAAACAGTAAGGGCGCATGCAGTACAGGATGATACCTTTTACTCGTCTACACGCTTGAATAATACACAGACTCAAACTAGTCAACAAGAGTTGACTGAGTCAATGTGTGTGGGCCCAAAGTTTCAAAGAGGTATGAAGGTTGAGAAAGAATGTACAAATCTGGATCACATGACCACCTTGGGTGAGCATTTGAAAAGTCCAATTATGCACAAGAGGTGGTTGTGGATCTTGATTTATTTGGGCAGGAAATAAAACCGCGCTTGCCACATGTTCAACATGCAAACGTCACTGCACGAAAGTGGCTTAAAGTGGAGGCCCATTCCTGTAACAAGAAGTTTAAGAAGAAGAACCAATGTGACAAAGTTGCACGTACATATACATGAACTGTACAAAACACAGGGAGGTGCTTAACAGAGTAGACCAATCTCAGGCCAAGCGCTGGGTGTATACGCTTTTTTTTATTGGCTTGACTTGCAGTTCCATACAAAGTATGTGCACTTGAAGGTTGACGCAAATCTTGCAATATGTCAGGAGTGAGATAAAAACTGAAAATCAAAATCCCGGCTGCACTTACAGCGGTGGTGGTAGAGTCTACTTCACTATGCTACGTCATGGACTATCAAATCACAAAAAACATTACCTGCCATTCAGTGACTGCCAATGATCCTAGGGAGGAGACAAGCTCATTGAAGTTGATGTCTGGAGTTATCTGTAATGGCTGACGTGAATTCTGCACAGAATAGAGAGAAGACAGCAATGACATATCTCCAAAGGTCAGTTTAACTTTCTTTGACCATACCCTGCCAGACGCAGTGAAAAGGTGTACAAGTCTGGTACATTTTGCTGCACGAGGCAAACAAATTGTCCATGTTGGGACAACAAGAGCTGGTCCCACTGACTATGCTGGTCGGCAACTAGACTCGCACGCCATGTACATGTAATTTGGCCTAGGGGAGAGCTGACCTCTTACATCTTGTTACACTGTATCTGGCAGGACTTCTAATAAAAAAACTCTGAAGGGTTAGGGTTAGATATGTGTCTCACAGAATTGCTGCACAGAACATTGTACAATGCATGCAGACTCATTGAACTGTCCATGTTGGTTTGAAATGCATAATTACAGGTGTCTTGCTCAAGAGAAAAAAACTGAATTGATGTCTTTCAACCGTTACTGGAGGAAAAGCCGGTTGAGTCTTCAAGCTCTGCAGACATGAAAAGTTTTTAACCACTTGTGTTCAAAAGTGAGTGGCATACATGTATAGTAAGCTTTTTTCATGGCATCATTTTCATTAAAAACTTCACAAAATGTCTCGGGTTTGATTTTTTTTCACTTATTCTGTGAAGTAAAAAAGCTACATGTATGTTTTTAAAAAAATTATGCGCCAATGTTTTTTTCACAACTGTGTTTTCAAAAATGCAGAAATCTGCAGATCCATGGAAAAATTGCATGCCTGCATTAAGTATATTCTCCATGGGCTAAAGGGTATACCATCTACTCACTGTTTGTTGGTATGTCTTCCACTGCACTTCTCCACCTGGTACAAGTTCGGAGAAGAAGCTGACCTTCTTGTTGTATCGTTGCTTGGCTGCGGCAGTAATACCTCCCCAGGGTTCAAGGGGATCCCCATCAACTTCTATTTTGCCGATGACAAATGGGCCTAGAGAATGGGAAACAAACAGGCCCAGGTACTCATAGTTGTTGCTATTGCCCTCAAAGGGTAAGTTTGAAACCTTTTTATCTTCCTTTCGTGCCATGAGGCTTAGACATGTATATTTCAGAAGTTCAAATAAATCAAAACAAGAAGTTTAAAAGCTGTAATTTAGTTGTCACAGGTCATCTGCTCTCGAGTCATATGGACAATCCGCTCAGAGGGAATTCCAACAGAGGCATCATTTTCTTATTTCCTGTGACTTGACTTGTAACTGAAATTGATTTTGTGAGACACTTGGCTTTTTCAAACTGTACCCGTAATAGATCTGACATGAAAATAGATGAAACAAAAAAAACATCCGTTGTTCTGATGACGAAAGACGGGACAAATTTCAACCAATAACTTAATCCTAGATACTCAAATGAAAATCTACAGGCATTACTTTTTCAAGAGCAGTTTCCAATCAGGACCCTCCAAAACATGCAGAGCCCAAAAGCAGATGGGGGATGGGTGGTATTTCCTTTATCAAAAGGGTAAAGGCCATCAAAGGCTACGTAAAGCCGTTTCCATGATTCCCCACCCGCCCCCCCCCCAAAGAAAATTGCGCGCCCCCGACTAACTCATTACTATTGAAGGCTCTGACAACTTTTACACCTGCAGGGCTATAATTGGGTTTGCAGACTACCATTACCAAATACTACTGAAAACTTACCAATGAAATGCCAGGTGCTGATGAATGGTGTCACCTTGCCGGACAGCTTCGCTGCTTGCTTGAAGCATGTGTTTGCCTTTGGTTTGTCTTCCTGAGCAGCGTACAGGCTCCCCAACTCTGACCTGATAAAACCAAAAGACCAACGCAAATCATGCCAGTATTCAACCAGACTGAGCGAGAAGGCAGACTGAAGTCACCAGAGATCCTACATGGCATGCTCTGAGGACAGGCCACTATGCATTTCCTTGGTGCCGTGCACCAGTAGACCCTTTGTGCTGTGTTTTTTCACTGAAATAATGTATCAAAAATTAACCTCGGTGAAGGTGCACCGTACGGGCTCTCTTTTGAAGTATTCTAACCACTGATCTGGGGGAGGGGGTGGAGCGATATGCAATGATGTACAAAAATTGTCCCCACCCACACAAGCAATTTTTTTTGGAGAGGGGGATTTTAATATTTTATCTCTGTTCATCCCCAACACATGTAAAAAAAATCAAATAATAGCATTACTCCTAAGAGAGGTTACAAAGGGTGGCACAGCTCTGAAATGTTTGCTCCCCCAATCCTCCGCAGAAATGTCCCTCTCCAAAAAAAGAAAATAAAGAGATCGGTTGCAGAACTACACATAACATTGTTTTTACACAACACACCACCGAGACACACTCAAACATGTCAAAGAAGTCTGTGGTGTCCCTTGAGAGCTGTGCTGTACTCACTCGAACAAGGTAACATGGAGTTTCAAAACCGTTTCTCAGAAATACATGTAACAGGCTCTCTGTTTAAGCATTTTTACCAACCTCTGGGCAGATTCAGAGCAAAACTGTAACCACTTGTACTACTTTGGCTGATTTCCGAAATGGACTGAAATCTTGCAACTGTTCCACCACCATGCACATACAGTGTATGTCGCCATAAGAAAATGTAACTCACCACGTCCAACTGTTTTCAAGACTGGAACTGAGTGACTTGAGCAGGCACACTTTCAATTTATCCACCTGTAACACATCCAAGACATCAGACATTTTCAGAATTCACTGCATTAATGTAAGGCATATGTGCATTCAAGGAATTATCGCATTACTTTCCTTGTCGGGTGGCAACGGATATATTCTTCAAGTTATAACTCTACACGCATAGATTCTCACCATTCTTATAACTTTACTTCACGTTTTGTTTGAAGACCATTATCAATCGTATCAGTGAAAGTAACTGAGATACAAATGACTAAGGCTCGCAGTCCGGTTGGGGAGAGTTCCATACACATCCTGCCATAACGAGATCACAACCAAACATTAACAAGTTTTGCAAAAATCATTCTTTGGTCACATTAAAAAAAAGGTTTTATTGAGTTTATCTCGCTAGAGATCATGGTGGCTGGATATGGATCTCTTTCCTTTGTACATGCAGATCCTTATGCCAGAGCACCAACAGATGTGTACACGTATGTGGACTTCTATGAGCACATTCATGCACACTATACATGTAAGCAGGCAACATTACATTGTATGTATATGCGGCATATTGTATACTCACCTTGCCATTGAGTCTCAGCTTGGTTATAGTCACTTGTTGGCTATTTTTGCAGCTATCGAGGTCCACATCTTTGGATTCTTTTTCAAAAAGCTGTAAGGCTGATTTCTGAAGGAGAATTAAAAAAATATGAGTATTGATGAGAGTGCAGGCTTCTAAATGACATGCAGGAATAAAGTACATGTACATGTACATATACCTCAATGTGGAAAACACAGAAAATTTGCAACATTCAAATCAGTGTCATAGACCTTGTGGTTTTCAATGTAACTGCACTCACTCCACATACATGTAAGAGGAAGAATGAATCTACAATGTTGCTTTGGCATGGTAATGTACATGTACATACATGTACATGTACATACATGTACATGTATGTAAGTTTCACTGCATCGGTACCGTACCCTTTTTCTCACAAGCCCTCAGAAAACACTAAGGTGAAAGCATCATACTGTGCTTGTACATACATGTAGACATGAAGTGATTAAACACTAAATAAAGCGTATCTAAATACATGAAGTTGCCATCACTGCTGCAGCCCCACCCACACACATGCAGATCTGCATCCTGAAGTCACAAGACTGACAACTCCTCTTCACGAGCATGGTGAAACTACAAGTGAATTCTGCAAACCGTATCGATCTGCGCAATTAACATCTTCCCGATACCAAAAGTGCATTTTCAAAATTCCTATCACCTACAGTTCAACACACTAGTACATGTAGTCATGTACACAGAAAAAAGTGGTGATTGAAATGCATGAGTACATGTACATGTACATGTATGTACTTGGCTTCTACAATGAACATGTACGTGTAAATGCCACAAAATGTCATATTGGTTTTCTTGTTTTGTTTTTTTTTAAAGGCCTCCTCAATGACATGAGTTCCATATCCACCCAGCATGTACATGTACAAGTACCCGTAGTCTCACCACCAATTCCACTTTGAACAACCTTCCATTTTCACTGAAGACAGGTCCATTCAGCTTGGGAGTTGAACACCGAAAATTCCAAAATGCTTGGGAAAAGCTGTTCGTGAGGTTATATTTTTAAAACAAATTATCTTGCCATTCAAAAAATGTCAAATCATGGTGGCTGCATATGGAACTTGTTTTTCTGACAGGTTTTTTAAACTAAATTTAGTATTTTGGTTGCATTTTAGTTTTGAATCAAAGTGTACAATTATGTAGGCACAGAGAAGAAATAATTGGCAAAATATCAAATTCTCCTTGATCACATAAGCTTTAGTCTGTAATATGAATGCATGCTTTGAACATCCTATTGAGGCTCTGCTATGAGTATGTGAAATGATGTAGTCCTTCACAACTTGACATGTGTAGGCTAACCATAGTCATTGTGAAAAAAATGGGTAAATAATTTTCCATCGCAATCCAGGGGCAATTAGTTAAGTCCCCAAAACAGTAAACGCAGAGCATAAGCAGCCAAGCACACCAAACATACATGCACTGTACATGTATACACCATGCACGTCATGTAACGTATATCCCACATGTACTGTGGTGCAGAGATGTACTGTAAATTAACAAAAATCAACAATGTACAGGGAAAATGGGGGAGGGGTGGCCTTGCTGTATAAAGTATGTAGGATGATGGTTTTAAGTCCTCCATGATTGAACTGTGCGTGCATCAACGATCACAGTACAGCAAGTCTTGTTTCGACATACAGGACCCTGCAGCTAGTGCCAATATTGGACACATATAGAACTTAGAAAGATCATCCTCAGCCTAGGACATGTAAATGTAGGATGGGGAAAATCATGAGCCCTGAGTATTTACTCAGTAGAAGACCAAGGACACGAAAGAAGACTTCCCGAGGTCACGACGTATTTTGCTTTTGTTTTGGATTGAGACATTTGTACACGTACATGTACCTTGTAGTACTAGGAGAAGTAGGCCTACCTGAGGCCCGAGACCATGCACAAAGTTGAAAGACATTTAGGATTGGCAGGCCCTTGGGTCACAGTGTTTTATTATACTTTTGTCATTCCGGGCCGACTTGGTTGGGGTTATGTCTTGTTTTTGTTTTGTTTTTTTTTTGTTTCCTTTTAACTCGTCTTACTTCTTTTATCATTTGTTTTTGCTGTCATTGTCTTGTTGAAGGCCGAATAAATAATAATAATAATAACAATAAAAAATGAAACAAAATGTGAAGGCGCTCAAAATTGTTATCATTAGCCTACCCACAGAACTGTGGGGTCCGACATCCGCTCTACTCCCACGAATGTGGGACCTTGGAGAGCGGAGCGGACGTCGGACCCCACAGCTCTGGGGTAATCATTTGCCTACATCATGAACATGGTACATTGCTAGGCCTATGGTAGGCTTAAGTGTAGCATCAGCTGGGCATGCACGACACAGCCATGCTATTGTAGCACACATTTTCGTGGTTGAGGACCACTGATTCCATATTTCACACTCAAAAATCAAAGGGGCAAAAATAGTGTTGCCGCCATGGGGAAAATCTGAATTAACCCTAGGCCTATTGACTAAACTCTTAACCTTTAGGCCCTACATCAAATGTGCCTGAAATTTCACTATTTACGCGCTATGAATATCTCCAACACTGTACCGAAAAGGTTTCGGTTATATACATGTATATATCATTTTGCAGCAAAAAAGGAAGAAAACATGCCTATCCCTGTACAAAGTGAATGGGGAGTTGCCCCTTTGTCAAGACGCGAGTGCAATACAGTGTGAATAAAACACTGACATGACTGAACAACCTCCGACAGCGGGAATTGCATGTTCAGGATACAGGCCTCAGGCTGGGCCTACCTGAATGTGGTCCTTTCTCTTGCAAAAAACAACCAGCCGAGCACTTGCAAGCAACAGGCACAATAACCATCTCCTGATAATCATGACTGAATATGCATCTACTTAAGCAAAAAATATCCGATGATGTAGAGCTGAGTAAATATTGGTTTTACTGACACAGGCCTCGGTAGCTCAGCTACAAGTATAAATAAAAATAGTGCAAAACTGTTTGTAAGGCGCGCGAACTTTAATTTCCAATACGTTGGCAATGCGCGCCCTAGAGGAGTCTAGGTGTTAAGATAATAGTCAGGTACACGTGCGTTCCACTGATCATGCATTAGTGGTACGTTCTTGGTTAAACTGCGCCTCCTTCGGTTTCGAATCAACTTGCGTTCTGCTGCCTGCCAGGGCGCCCTCACCAGTCTTTAAATGAAAAAGCTCTTCCCGCCACACAAGTGACCTCTAGCCTCTTCTGCTTACTGCAACGTGCGCTTCGTGTGAGTAAATTTTTTCGTGCGAGAAATTGGCATATATTATTTTTATACTTGTTATTCGTATGCCCTTTTGGTGTGTTATTATCCTTTGACTTATTGTCAGCCTTTCTTGAGGCTTTGTATGTCCCAAACTCAGTCCTTGCAGCTGTTTTAGCCTTGTTTTAGCAAGGGTTCTGTGGCTCACCAAACACACGTGCAGGGACCATATTGGACGGGTCGGCAGATGAATCTGCGGTGTCACGACCCACGTCACGCTTCCCCACGCGGGACCGCGGGACGACCCTGATGATCATCTTTCGCGCTTCCCTATTGATCGGGACCATAAGGCCAGATGCACGCCTCCCTTCACGCGGCCCTGATTAGGCAGAGGCATCACATACTGGATCAGGCCAAAGTGGTTCGATCTCCAGACCCCCACAAGATGGAGCTACAGCGGGGTTCGTCTCACCCCCAGCAAATGGAGGTCTTGACTGCCATGCAGAAGACCCAAACTGCAATGTTTAAAGGCATTGTTGAGAAAGCTTTTGAGAAAATAGAGACCTGCCAAGGAAGAATCTCCTGTCCTACTTCTCGTAGGCAACATGCAGCTAGAAATCATCGCACAGACCAACATTGCAAACGTAGGTCGATGTCCAGGGTTAGCTCCAGCAGACACGTTGACTATATTTGGCCCTCAGATTCAGAGGGCTCAGCGTCACTTTCTCCAGTTGGGAGAAGACAAGCTAGTGAGAGTGGTACAACCAAAGAAGATTTAATCTCCATGCATGCTGAGTTTACAGGACTTGGACCGGTATGGTGCAGGCGGTCATAACCATACTAATGAAAAAGAAGAGGTTTCTCCATTGCCTAATCCTCATGAAGGGGTGAAGGGGCCTATTTTAACCAAGTAGGTCTTGATTGGTGGCAACAACAGCGAGCCAATTTACTGGATCAGGCCAAAAAAGATGAGCTTTTAGAGGGCCTGACTCCTGATGCAACATTTGAAAAATACTTTAGGGCTCCTGATATGCCCAAACCCATACGGTCTACAATGAAGAAGTCAAAAGTTGCTGCCTGGAAAAATGACAACTCTGTATGGTCCATACAGGAAGACTGCCTCAAAGCGGCCATTTCCCTTATTAAGACCATAGAGGGGTATCAGAAGCTGCAAAAGGAAGAGTTAAAACCCCTTTTGACTTCAGCAGGAAGTTTGTTGGGGTCAGCGATCCACCGCCTGTCTCTCTATCAGATGCACCGAGCAGAGCCTTTTCTGAAAGAGCGCTATCTCCGAGATGTTCAGCCTTCGATGTCTTGCTTGTGTGGTGAAGAGTGGACCCAAAAAGTGGATGAAGAAGATCCACAAGGTCACTCAAAAGGTGGTGAAGAACTTTGCCAAATCCAGTTCATCTGCCCCAAACCTAAAGCATAGGGCCACAAGCTTGAATCAGTATACCAATCCGAAAGGTTGGTCCAGTAGAGAAAAAAGCAGTCACAGGTATAGGACACAGTACCAACCCAATAGGTATCAGCCATACCCCCGTGATTTCCACACCAGTGACCGTGATCGGTCCCGCATGCAGATGCCCGAGAAGAAAGATTCTTTTCGTGGAGATGAGAAGTCACAGAAGGCTTTCCAAAAAAAATAGACCAGAAGGCAGACGACTTCGATTCTGAATCGAGCTTTGGGCTTTGTTATGCAGGGAACATCCACATCACAGAATGGGAGAAACTGACAAATGGATGGATTTTGCAGAGCGTGGTTGGTTACAGAATCAAATTATCACGAGACCCAGTACAGCACAAAGTGCCTGCTCAAATCAAATGAGCGACCTACAACATCAAATATGCACCAAAGAGATTCAGAGAATGATCCTCAAAGGGGCAGTAGTAAGGGTACAGGACATTCCAGATCAATTCATCTCAACAATTTTTATAGTACAGAAGGCCACGGGGGGTTTAGTATATCCGCTCAGAGCACTTCAAGATGGAGTCAATCGAACACGTGAAAAGCCTGGTGCAACAGGGAAATTTCATGGTTACAGTCGATCTGAAAGATGCTTACTTCATGATTCCAATATATGCCCCACACCGGAAGTTTCTTCGTTTCAAGTGGGAAGGTAAACTCTTCCAGTTCCAGGTAGTTACCTTCGGGCTGATGAAACCATTGGTGTCCCTTTTCAGACACAGATCGATGAAAGTGGTAATTTATCTCGACGATCTACTACTGATCTCACATACCAAGGCAGAATGCAACAAGCAACTGACCTACATTCTCGACATGTTCAAGAACCCTGGCCTGGTCGTAAATTGGGAGAAATTGCATCTCCATCATGTCATAGATTTTCGTCAAATGACATTGAGTCTCCCGAGGCCAAAAATCGACACCCAATTGGAGAACTGCACCGGCCCAGATGGCCTAAAATCCCGTGCAATCAGCAGAGGCCCTGGCGAGTCTCATTGGAAAAATGAATACTACAGCCGAAGATGTTGTACCAGCACCAATTTTTCTAAGGGCCTTACAGGCGGATCTAATTCAGTCTGTCCGAGTAGATTCCAGTTACCAGAGTCTGGTCTCTCTGTCGGAAGAAAGTCCTCACGAGTTGCAGTGGTGGAAACATTGACACTGGAATGGCAAACCACTGGTCCTGTCACATCCTCAACTGACGATAACGCCGGATGCCTCAACTCATGGTTGGGGAGCTCATAAAAGGCATAGCAATCGTAATCGCATTCAATGGCCGAGTGGTTAAGCTGGCGAGGAGAGATAGTGGGAAGGGGGTTCGAATCCCACCCTTGCGGTTTTTAGTTTTTCACTATGTTTGCGGCATATAAAGAGCTATAAAGCATACAATTTTCCACCTTAAAGTACCAACAGTATCTTAGCCCACCGGGTAAGCTCTACTGCTGGGACCGTCCGCGAAGTCCAGGTGAGCGCCTTAGTACAGGTTCGAGACGTATGGCCGACTCGGCGGCCAGGGCTTAGGGCTTGTCTCGTTTCCTCCCTTGCATGGCCGCTCGATCCTTTTTAGGGTTAAATGGACGGGCAGGGAAGGAAGTGTGGTGGGCTGGGAACCCCGAGAACTCAGAAGAGTCCTATGTGGAAGCCGGTAACTACGATTCTAGAGAATTTCAGGAGTCCGTGCGCTTGAATGCTTGGTCAACACCGCATAACTTTTTGTGAGCTTGTTTTGTTTGTAATTGCAAACCGTTTGTCGCTATGACTCATTTCTGAAGCATTTTGTTGGCTGCAGAAATTCTGTCAAAACTTGATGGGGATTCAGGCATCAAAAGCGTTGCCGATACGCTGAAGGTATTTTGAAACACTTGAAAGGTATCACTGTCATAATACCTGCGTGATATTACATGTATTACATGACATACATGCTTGGAAAATAAAAGAAAACAAGCTAAAGTATATTGCAGGAATGAATTTCGAGTTGTCCGTTGTAATTGTTAAAGGGTAAAAAAACTTCTTCTGAAGAACCGTAGAAACGCACCAAATTTGTACTATCTGCCCGTCACTCCAAAGCCATTAAGCAGCATATTAAACACAGGACTGAGTTCGCTAAATAGAAAGTAGTAGAGAAACCTGCGCCTTGTGATGGATAGGAAACTAGAGTATACGCTTGATAGTTGTCAGCCTTCTTTACACGACAATGCACATAACGTGGTCGTTCTTGTGTGTTCTAATAAAGCATGTGAGAAACGAGGTAAAGACTAAGTGCTTGATTTACTGTTGCTTTACTCATTAAATGTCCTCAAGGATGTCTTTCAAATATTACTTTTCTGAACCGGAAGGGTATCCAGGTTATAGCTTTGAGTGGCAAAATGAAATTTCTTTCACCGAATAGGCCTAAACCAAAAGCTATTTCTGACGTTTGTGTGATAACATAACATGGCCAGAAATTTGTAACTTATTTAAAAATTCTTATTTCTTTGCTATACTTTTCAAAAGTTATGACCTTATTTCTAAGATAGTTTACTTTTCATCGTGTCGACGGAAATATTTTCGTCCGTTGCGTAAATTATCCACGTCGAGGACCTTTACAAGCCTGCTACGTTAACGTATGAAACATCTCTCTACTCAGTTCGAACGAAATGAAATAAAATTTCTTGTTCACTTTAAAAACCAACTGTAAACGAGAAAATGGTGTAATGGGGCCTATCCATTCATTTTTAGCGCTGACTTGAATTCCTAAGCCCGCACAAAGCCAACGATTAACCGCATACATTGAAAACGTAACGTTTTCGGCAGCGGAATTCACTTAGGGGCCTACTGTTTCTGCAAACTTTCGGCACCACATTGTCAGCAGCAATATTAAACGGGAGAAAAACCTCTCCAAAATAGTACAAACATTTGTGAGGCTTCAGTCCCAACAGGGTCATTCTCACCATTTGTATAGCCAAGAGAGGGACATATTCCTCTCTGGACGTTTGGGCTATTTCATGAGAAATCTTCAAAAGTACTTATTTGTAAAAAAAAAATACATTGAGACTTCTCAGAGAAATGCTAATGTCGCCCTGAACTTAACTGAGCGTCAGTTGGAAAGTTTTACACATTAGTCTACCTGAAAGGAAAGGGCAACGAGAATATTTTTTATTAAATGAAAGACAATTATGCAAACTGAAACGGGATCAACACGAATGTCGAAATTTCAAATAAGGATGTCTTCCATTTATATCTTTCTCAACAAATGTTAACATATTGCAAGCGAAAAGAAATGGCGCTTAGAGTCTTCAGTCGGTCGTCCTTTAAGAACGGAGACAGGAATCTGTGAAATCACAGTGGACTTTCCAGGTAGCAGGCCTACCGGGGCTGCTCCTACCGTCAGCTGATCAGCCTGCCAATGGACCCC